CCAATCAAAATCAAGAATCTATTCGTAGATCATTCTAGAATGCGATTTCCTAATTTGGTATATTCCCAGACTGTAATGTTACACCTGATCTCGTCCCCTGATTGGCCAAGATCAGGAAACCTAGAAGAATTTAGTGTGGTATTAGATTCTATATAAAGTTCATGTGCTTAATTTTTTTTTCTTACAACGCACCCTGGTTCCGTGAAATGAAGAAAATCATCGTAGCTAAAAAACAAATTTTCGATAATGACTTTACAGTAGGTTTAAGCGAAAATTTGTGGAATGAACTAATTCTAGAAGAATGTTATGAATGTAAAATTTTTGCCTATTATAATTATTACAATTATTATAATTATTACAATTATTATAATTATTATTTTATTTATAATGTTTTCTCTAAATTATTTAGATCCTCAAGATACAATATGTATCTCAATTAGCCAAATTGACGTCAATAAAAACAATCCATTACGATCACATAAAAAAAAGTCACTTGCAAACTCTTCAGTTATTGCATTCGGGAAGTGTCATTATCCCGAAAACCATGAACTCACACCCAGGGTAGGTTTCCTTATTTACTAATTACAGCACCAAGAATTATTTATGCTAAAAAACGTTCCTTTTCTTTCTCAACAAGGATCATACTTGTTATGTCTCACCAAAGTTTGCTAAACAAAATAATTTTGTCAATGGAATCGAGGTGGATATCATTAACGTGCGGCCAGTTGAGTTGGATGAGGTGATAATTGGCGCTTTGGATTACGAATCTTATGAAATACTATTAAGAGGTGTGTGATGGCAAGTTTTTGATTAGTAGGTAAGAAATTTTTTTGTTCAATTAAGATTATGAATATCTTTTTTAATGCTATTTCTCTCTGATATTTTTTACAATTGACTCTCACCATCGGATCTCACAAACTATAAGACTCTTCTGCTATATTTAATTGCCTTCACTTGTCCCCGCCAATTATCATTCGTTATGGACAAATATATAGACTAAATAATTTACCTATATCTTCGAACTCTGATTCTTATTTTGGCTTTAAAATTCTGATTTGTGGCCCCGTTTTACAAGGAGTTGTAACGGATCATACAAATTTTATTATAACGGATATTTCAAAAGATTTTTATTTAAATGATCACGATGATGATGATGAATTTGATACCGATACTACTGAATTTACCATCGAAAATGAGTTGTTAGATCAAAACATATTAGATTTAAAGGATGATTATATGACCACTCAGTTAGCACTTCTTGAAGCTGATGGTCAAGATGAACTGGATGGTGATGAGTCTGACTATATTTCTTCGGTTGCATCATCTGATGATGATAGTTGGAATAATGTTGTCCCACTTCCAACTAAATCAAAATTTACTCCCGTCATTTTATCGTCACCCTTTCCAAGTAAATTATTGCAACCGGCTCCAAACGAAAAAGAGGATCCTGAATCAAGGATTCTTATAAGCTTGAAAGAACTTGCGAGGTTGGGTTTTCAAAGTGGAAGTTGGGTATGTCTTCTTTTTATATATTATTTATAATATTTTATGTTTATTTCATGCTTAATTTATTTTTTTTTATGTTTATTTTATTTTTTATGCTTCAAAAGGCTTTGGTATCAGGACCTAAAATGGAAAAATCTAGGATGTGTAAGGTTTATGCTGTTGATATTCCTATATCTGCAACGTATGTTATTTATTTATTATTTATACTCATGATTTACATACATTTAAGTTATTTCTAATTTATGATAAAACTTTCTAGGGATGCGT